TTTTGAATGGGTCTAACTTTGGTTTCAATATTACAAAAAGTTGTGCATCCCTTATTTTGTGGTCTCTATGGTACACAAGAGAGACCACAAAATAGAGGATGCACAACTTTTTGTAATATCAAAACCAAAGTTAGACCCATTCAAAAGCCCCATTCTCCACCATCATTAATCTTATTCAAACTCTTGGTTTGATCAAAAACTAAAAAAAAATCCCATGTGCTATACATTTCACAAATGCAGCAAGAAACTGACAAAAGCACTTTGAAGTTGGCCTTTGGTCAGGATAGGTAGCCCAAAGTAGGACTTTTTCATTTAGGGGATACAAACCTAAACCCGGGTTTTTTTCTGCAGAATCCCAAATTTTTTTTTGGCTGTAGTTGGGATTCTGGGATTCTGGAAAAACTCCCAGAGGTTTGAATACCTCACCACCCAACCTTGGCAGGGGGGCACTCCTATCTCACATTGCCTCCTCTCCCCTACCTCGCCTTGCACCTTTGCCTGTTACCTCCACCTTGCCTTTCTTCCATCACCACACCACCCCTTTCCATCTCACAACTTCACCTCAGACCTCAAATAACTTTTGACTCACCACCAATGTCCCATCATGCCTTGTTTCGGTCACAAACAAGCCCTGAAGAGGTCGATCCACCTTGCCCAAACCTCAAGACATGAAATCCTGGCTCAGCAGTGCAAATGGCTATCTCTCTTAGCTCCACTTGATGTTGAACTGGTGGCCACACAATTCTTCTTCTGATTACTCCAGATTTTACATCTGCTTTGACACTCAAACACAGATGATGACAGAGCAAGAGCCCGTCAGTTCCCAATGGTGGCACTGTTTGAGATGGCACCCAGCCTTGACTGTTCAATGGAGCTGTTGTTGAAAGGAGTCTGAAAGCTAGCAGAAGCCTACACTGACCTTGAAGTACCTGAAGAAGCATTGAGGATCATCAATTGGAAATGGTATGTGGTGGTGTGTTGATGAAGATAGGGGTAGAGGATGAAGACATCTTCAGGGCACCAGTTGCAGCAAGCACTTGTAGCATAGAAGTATTGATTTGAATGGTTCCGGGAGTGAGTTGTGTGTTGGAAGGGATGGGTGGATCAGAGTATTCTGCAATTGAAGAAGAGTCATGGGGCAGTTGGTCCGAAGTCAACTTGTCCAATTGCGGAGCCATGGGTAATGTGTGTGAGAATTCAAGGCGGGGTTATGGATTGTCAGGAGCTGGGGATTAAGCAGATTTTGCCAGAATTCCAGAAACCCAAGTCGGACTTAGGATTCTGGGATTCTGGTAAAAAAAAAAACCCAGGTT